TCACTGGCACTGGGACCACCTGTTACGATGGGTGCACACTGACACCTACTGCTTGGAGCAAAGACAACCCTGAAGGGGATTCACAAGCGCCACCTGATTTAGCTCCATGAATTTGGATGGCTGTGTCTGTGCAGGTTCCTCTACGGAGAAGGGAAATACTCCTCAGGGAGACCTCAGACCCATATGGTGGCTGGACACCGCGAGCAGGGGCACCCAGCAGCCTGGTGTCTATTTTCCACCAGTGCTGATGTGATGCAGGGCTTTAACGAGCATCACACAACGTAATTATGATTTGTAAAAGGGCCCAGCAATCCTGGGGGACTGAAGACCTCTTCTGGTATGTCCCACCAAGGAGGAACCATCCAGTGGGAAGGTGGCCAAGCAAACTTCTGAGCCGGCACGAAATCTAGAACAAGATTTTTCAGTTTCTTCAGAAAATTGACCTGAGAACAGAGTAAAACATCTTACCCAATACACTACAGGCTAAGAAGACTTGACCTGCACTATATAAAAAGAGTTGTCTCAAATAACAACTGTTAAAAGGAGAAACAGTCAGCTGTACTGAGTACTGCCAACAGGATATTAATACTTTGAGGAAAAGTAGTACTAAAAGAGGTGAAACTATCCAACTCCTTGCCCTGCACTCATGGGTATCTAATGTAATTTTTGGCATTGCTTGTGATGTCAGCTCTCATCCCAATTTCAGTCTAATACTCTGCATGTTAACAAGGAAGCTCCACACTACAAAGCTTCTGCTTTTTCCCCCTGTAGTATCACTCTGGTTTATCTCAGGATGTACTCACCAGGAAACTCCTCTGAAACCATCTACGTGACTAATGTCAAATCTAAAGCATACATACTAGCGCCAAGCATGTCTGTAGATTCCCTGTCTTCTAAAAACTCACGGCACACATTGAGTAGAAGTGTGCTTACAGGGAATTGCTGTTGCCAGATGCTGCTTCATTATCTGAAACTGCACGCTGTTTCTCTGTCCTGATTACTCAGCACTGCTGGCATTCACAGCCTTATTACAGAATTATACAAGGAGCAGTGCTACACATTTTTTAACAACCTCAACTCCCTTTACCGCAACGTTTCATGACAAAAGGTTTTTGAACCTAAATGCACTTCAGGCACAACTCCCTGGAACAATCAATCACCCAGCAAGGCTTTCTTCTTCTTTTAACAGTGCCGAAATCTCTCTGCCTGGCACTGAGCATAGCTCAGTCAACAAATTGTCTTACCAAGGAGCACAGAGAAGGAGAGGACACCCCTGGTCAGCAGTAGGTGAATGGATTCAAACCTCAGCTCTCACAAACTGGCCAACCCACCTCATCCTTGCAACGCCCAATAAGAGAGAGTTCCAACGACAAAATTTCTAATTTTCTGCCCAAATTTATTCATATCCCGTTTGTACACATTTTCTCTTGCATCAGTATTGTTACTTAACATAAACAATCCTTCCCCTCAGTCTAAACCCCAGAGGGAATATGCGTACTCTGGTTCTTTTACTACAGTAAATAAGCCTTCCCTGCTCTTTTCTCCATCTTGTAACAGGGTCTGCCTGCTTCTTCAATCATCTTCACAAATCCAATGCCATTGGAACGTGAGTTACCGAAACTGTATCAGCCCTCATCTGACTCTTGCAGAGGGGCATCCGTACTTCCTCTATACTGAAAATACTTCACTTTATATATCCACTGTCATGTGATTACTTCTACTTGAGTATTTTCATCCCATGCCTCCCTTCCATCCCTCCATGAACAAGTCTGCCCATGTCCTTTTCTTCCCTGGCATTTCCAAGTGTGAGGAACTCCCCCTTCCTGTCACTGATTTTCATTATTAGTCTTGAGATGTATGACTTTATTACCTATGTTATTATTTTTCATCCTATATCTTATACTTCATGCTTATCTTTAAACCTATCTCTATCTAATCTCAATCATCCTATATCACATCTCCCTGTCATTTATTTTCTCCCAGAGGACAACCTCATCCCATTCATCCCTCCTAAATTTCTGTAATAAGCCTAATTCATCAGCATGATTCCATTTTATTAAAGAAAAAAAGTCCATGACACTTAAAGAGCTCCACTAGCAATCTTCTTCCTCTCCTACCAACAACACCTATAGGTCTCAGCCCCTCCCTACCCATCTTTTAAGCTCTAGTACTAATGCCCATTTTCTCC